TTTTTCTTTTTCTTTTTCCTTTTTTTTTTGAGGAGAGGCGAGGTTGGGATTTTCCCTCTTCCATCGTTCTGGGCTTCCAGCTACACAGATCCGGTTGCCTTCAAAAGGTACAAAAGTTCCGGCACGGCAAATTGTCCCGCCTCGCTCTGAACGGGATCTTTCTGTTGGCAGTCTATTTCAGCTGCAACGGGCGAGCCGAACGTTCCGCGTTGCTTCCAAGAAGCCACGCTACTGTTTGACTTTTGCCAGCGCTGCAGCTGCAATCGTCGGAGCGGTGTCGAGCCAGCGACGCTACCGTAGCTCGTTCTCAGCGCCGAGCGCGCCTAGCGCGCTTAGCTCGAGTGCTTTGCGGGTACCCAAGCTGACGGTATGGCCAATGATTCAGGGCCTATCGATGCCTCCCGACCGAGGAACGCCCGTCGCGATTCCAAACGCCGTCGAGGTTTGGATCGTCCAATCGTTTGTCTGAGACACGCACTCTATTCACGAGCATCAAGGACGGGAAACGTATCGTAAGCCGCATCAGCTTTGTTCTGTCAGTCTCGCACCATCCAACTTCGGACGACAGCATTGCATTGTTCAAACTTGGTGCGTGTTGGGACTCGCTTTGGTCCGCAAGCGTTTTGTGGCGTTAGCGTGTTTGCGTCGCCCGAGATGACCCAACTCCGCTTGAAGTTTGCCATTGTCGGCCCGATCACGTTGCAAGGGTAAAGCCAAGTTCGCATCGCGCTTGTCGAACGAATCAGCATTGTCATCAGCATTGTCAGGAGGAGGAGCAAGGGATGGAGCGTGCAGCCTCGCTTGGCTGACAGTTGAAGCCGCTGCAACCAGAGCTTGCCAGGGATAAACGCGGACTTGACCCCGTCAAAGCCGCTGCGTGTTGACGCTGCGCATGAACCCAGGACCCGATCCGAACACGTACATGCCCGAAACCTCACCGGTCCGGTCTTGTGGATGGCGTTGCATGGAAGACGTGTTGCCACGAGCTTGCACAAAGCAGGAGTTTTCAGACCTCCGAACACCCGTTGTGTCGGGAGCCGCATTGTTGTTGATGTGCTCGACTCTAACTATTATAGGCCGTCATGACCGTTGCCGAAGGTCGACCGAAATTTCACCAGCGTGGCGTGCAAACTGGCAAGCATGTTTGGTAGCTGGGTGAAGCAACGCCATGAAGCTGCTAGAACTCTCCGAACGAACGAATCCAATCGAATCCTGCTTTGATGAGCTAGCTTGACGGGAGGATGGTGAACCATGCATGGTTGCTTTCCAAATTTGCATCAAGCCATGCAAGCATTGGCGGCAACACGGTGTGGCGCGGTCTCGTGCGCCATCTCGAGATTTCTAAGCGCCGCATTCTGCATCCTGCATCTCGGGAAGGACGTGGATCGATCTCGGATGGATGCTGCCAGCGAGCTGGCGTGGGAGGCTTCGCTTGTGCGCTTGAACTGTTTGTTCAATGCCCACCGCTCCGAGCAGACCGGTATCTCATGCGAGTTTTACAGTGGCTTTGCAGCATTTACCGGTCCCATGTGCTCGAGACAGGTGCGTTCGGATGCCGAGGTAAGGCCGCTGGCAAGGTTCGGCTGCGGACTGGCTCCATTTGCCGATTCCAGAGATCTCCGCAATTCTGTTTGGGTCGCCCAAAACTCCTCTCTGGGTCGGCGGCTGGTGTGAGAGCTAGCGCGCCTCACGCGCCCTGGCATGGCTCAGATGCACCTTACAGTATATGGGCGGGAAACAGCGTCACCGCATTTTTCTAAGCCCTGGTGACCAGAATTGCACAAAATCTTTATTTGTTTACATATTTGTTCTTTTTATCCTTTTATTTTTTAAATCTCTTTTTTGGCTTCTTCTTCCGCTCGACATCTGATGCGTCGCCTTGCTGATCAAGGGCCGTGGTGGTTGGTTTCTGTGCGTCTCCCACTCGAGACCGATGGCTACTCAGCTGCCCAGTTGCACCGATTTCTGTGCCTTGCCGCCTTGCTATGCATGTTCCGTATGCGAGCCACGACCAGCAATCACACCTGTCGATGCTCATCCTGAGCCGCCTTTGAAGCACCGCGCAAACATCACCAGCCTAGTCCCCCTCTGGGCTTGCCCTTGCACATCGAAGGCGTAAACCAGACTCCTCCTTAGTTTTGGCCTCGGCACTGGCTTCGTAGCTTTCACAGAGGCACTGCAGAGGCACACCAGTGTGGAAGCACTCACTCCCTCCTCCTGGAACCGCCGCGGTATCTAGCAGCCCGGCCCAATCGTATGCCGTGACCTTGATGTCCTCCGGCTTGTAACCCTAACCCTCGTGCGTCCAGATGGCACGTGCAATGGATTCTAGTGCACCGGCGTGCGTGCGCATTGGGGCCCTGGAGGCGACTGGATCGCTTTGGGCGTACTCGGCTCAATGCCAACCCGGTGTCCGGAAAAGACACGCCAGCTGTAGACCCAGACTTTCGAGCCGATTTGCGGAATTTCACTGCTTCTGCTGCCGCTGCTGCTCTTAACCCCTCCTTTGGTTCTTCCGCTCTGCGGGTCGTGGTGCCCATGTGCTGCTCGAGGACCATGATCCCGCAGGCACCATGGCGCGGCTCCTCCCTGCGGCGAGACTGGGCGTGGGGGCGCATCTACGAGATCGACCTGTCATTCCACTACTCAACTCGACCCGCCCTGCCTGCTTCCCTGGTTGGGCCCGCACTCCGCCCATGCACCGGGCACAGGTTTGACCAAAACTGCTTCGTCGCCGCGCAGGCTGTATTTGGCTCCGACGCTTGGTCGCGGCACTCCGAGGCATTCCTGCACCCTACCTCGTCCCAACATCTTTCTTTTGTCGTCTGTTTTCCGCATCAACCCCGAACCGCAAAACTCGACGGCATCATTCATCCTCGTGTTCCGCCTCCGATCATCAGCTCCATGTCCGTGCAGCTTGAGCGTTTCGAGTCTCGTAAATTGAGCTGTCTGAACCCAAGACGGGCGAGCCATGAAGTTCCTGGGGCTTATGATCGTACGTGCCCGCATTCGCCGCCATGCCCAGAAGCACGCCGTTGCCGGGATCCATGCTCTGGGTCTTGCCAAGCGTGCTCTTTACCTTCCCGTCAAATCCTGCGGAGAGAGACCCTGAAAGGGAACTGGAAAAGACCATTCGCCACCCAGATTCTCCCCATCCATGGTTTCGCTCTGCCTTGGACTGAGAGATCGTCTGCTTCTGTGCACCCCGTCTTGTTTGACACGCGTGCATCTCGTCCGCAGATGCGCCATGATCACTGTAAGTTAGTCGCACTGGTCGCTCAATCCGTCCTTGCGCATCCTCTCGACCAACTCACTCATCCAACCACGCTCACCTTCGAAGATCGCTTCCCACGAGGTCCCTTTCCACCTTCATAGGCCGCCACCCCTCCTCGTCCGACCTCTGTTGCTTCCGCTCATCTTTGATAGCTTCATCTCCTGCGTCCTTTCTTGTGTCTGCAGACAAGCTGCGGGCGCCCATTTCCCACTCGCCTAGCTGGTAGCAAAACGTTCCGCAGCACGGGCCGGATTGCAGGGCCATTCTCTTTGCTGCAGCCCAACTTTCCTTCTTTTCGGACCACCACCCACCGTAGCAACCCCACCTTTCGTGCCTCGCATCATTCTAGCCGCCCACCTTGTCTTCGAACCTCATCACCACCCACTCCGTTGCGTCAGCCTCAGCTCGGCCTTGCACGGCGTTCATTTGCTCTCACCGACTGCTCGGTTCTGGCCACCGCGGCTCTCCCCATCTCGCCAGCGCACGCCTTTGCAGCCATTGTTCCACCCGGGTGCGTCGGCCCCTGAGATCCGATAATCCATTTCAAGCGCCAGGCTGCCATGGAAGTCATTTCGAGACCATTGTCGTAAGTTTCTAGCCATCTCCGAGTCCCGCCGTTTCTTTGTTTCGATCGGATGAAGAGGCGTCGAGTGGGTGCGGCAGGGGTCGGCCCACTTCATCTAGCCCCTTGACGGGCATCATATCCGCCCAGAGATTCGGTCGGTGGGCGCAGGGAGCCATGCATCGCTCTCGCGTCGCCATTTGGGAGAGCGGTGGTTTCTGAGGTGCAGAGCATGGAGAGATGCTGCAATCTTTTCCAATGGAGAGAGGGCGCGCGCGCCTCCATAGGTCGACGGCGCTGCGCACCACGCGACCTCTGTCGTGGCCTCTTTCATTTGTCCATCTGCTGCCTTGCCGACTCCGAGTAGGCACGGACGTAGCGATATCAGAAGACTCACCCATTGTTCGTCCTTTTGCGCCCTCTCCTTGCCTGCATCGCTCGGTTAATCCTTGGCGTTGCGCATATGGCTCGGAACATTCGGACCACAGGAGCAAGAACGGATCCTTGGAATCATACCGATCTTTCGCCCAAGCATTTGAATCTGTAAGTGTGCGCCGCCATTGTTCACGACGACTAAAGCTCTTATCGACGCTTCCCGAAATGACGCGCTCCATTGTTCAGCAACCCTGTGGTCACCGACGGTCTTATGAATCGACGGCAGCCTTCTGCATGGTTGCTACGTACAAAGCTTCTGGCAATGTGGCGGGGCTCTTCTGCGCATTGTTTCGGGCGCCAGCGCGTCTGCTGCCTCGAGTGCTGCGAGGTCACTGCCTCGCACCGCATCTGCATCCGACCCCGCATGGACAGATCCGTACAGCTTAAACAGATCCGAACTGCAAAGACTGACTTTTCTTTCTTCGCACCTTTGTTCACGCTCGATGCACCTTTTCCCATTCGTCTTCCCCTCTATCTTCCTTCCTTTACGATCCTCTCGTCTTTGCTGTCATCTTTGACGACAATTAGCTTGCCGGTCTGCCGAAAAGCGGTGTTTCGCTTCTCACTGGCATGGCACAATCGGGGTATGGCCTGGGACCAGGGCCGTCGCGATCTGGTCAGTACTACGACGATGCACTCAGCCATGGTCGTCACAGCTATGATGAGCTAGCGTCGGCAGGCATGCCATCGGGAGGCTCGGGTAGACCGACAGCAGTCTACATCGATGGCTCGCCGCTGCTTGCAGCCTCTTCGTCGTCGTACGATCACACAGGTGCTCTGCGCAACAACACCCACACCCAGTCGTCGCTCAGCTTGCACACCTCGAGCCTGCATGATTCGCTGTCCCCGAACCACTACAACACATTCTTGCCGCACGAACATGCAGGATATGCTCAGCACGAACAGCCAAGCCCGTACCTGGGCAAGTCGTCTCTGCACGACAATCATCACGCTCATGCGTATCCACACCACCATCAGCATCAGCCGCACCATCCTCTTCATGGCCGACACATCTCGGAGCCTCACATGTCCATGCCCATGCCCGGCGAGCCGCATGGCGGGCACAGTGCGGGAATGCATTTTGGCTTTGCGGCGCACGGCGCGCATGGGCACCCGTCTCAGCACGCCCATCATGCATATGGCTCGCTCGATGCCGAACGGAAGCCTTTGGCCCACGCGCCGGCTCCCGAACCGCACACGCCGCGACCGCCGAATGCCTGGATCCTGTATCGGTCGCAGAAGTTCCGCGAGCTGCAGAAGAAGCGCGATGCGCACTCGCAGGCTGGCTCGTCGGAAAAGCCCAAGTCGCAGGCCGAGATCTCGCGCATCATCTCGCGCATGTGGCAGAACGAGACCGACCCGGTCAAGCAGAGGTTCGAGGCGCTTGCCGACGAGAAGAAGCTGGCACACCAGAGGATGTACCCCACCTACCGCTACCGGCCCAAGAAGAAGGCCAAGACCACCAAGGCGAATGCCGCCGGATCCAGCCAGCAGCAGCAAGTCACCGACAAGGCAGCATCCGAAAGCGGCGACATCAAGAAGGAGCCGGGCTCTTCGTCGTTGTCTGCATACCAAGGTCGTTCGGGCTCGGACAAGAAGGCGAGCTCCAACTTCTCCCACTCTCCTGACCCACTCGACACGAGGCGAAGCTCGGCTGACTGGAAGCGTTCAATGGCGTATGCGGGCGAATCGAGCATGCATCAAGCTCCCGAAGGCGGCGAGGCAGGGCCGCGCAGGGGCGCGTATGGCTCGGGCAAGGAGCGCGGAGACCTCCAAGCGAACATGCATTACGGGCGATCCGTCAGCGGAGCTGCTTCTGGATCCGAGGGTACGTCGATGCCGTCGTACATGGGCGCACGTATGCATCCGTATGGCGATCGACAGGGTTTGATGCGCCACGAAAGCTCTCGATCGTCCGACGTATTCGGTGAGAGTCAAAGCTCTACGGCCACGTACGCCGGTAGTCCTTGGCCCGACTCGGAGTGTGTAGGCGCGTCGTCTACCAGCAGCTATCTTGACGGACTTCGAGGTGGAGCGGGCACTTATGCTGGGATGGCCGGACCGCGGGTTGGGACGTCTTCGTCTTTGGTGGCACCGTCTGCAAGTGGCAGCGCGTCTCTGATGTCGCTGTCGCCGATCCAGCGGCCCTCGATTCCTTCGCAGCACCTGTCTCACGCCATGGACGGCCTCAACAGCGATCTCAGCCTGGCAGGTCTCACCTGCCCCAGTGGCGGGACAGGCTACAGCGGTGCCGACCCGGGCTTCCGTGCATCTCCCCTGGTCAACGACACGGCTCGCTTTGGTCCAACGTTCGGCGATGCCAGATCCGAGGTCCCCAGCGGCCTGTCTGCGCCCGGAGCGAACCCGCGCAACCTTCACGAATCACTGGACCCTCACTCGCGCCTGCAAAACGACTGAGCCGCGGACGCCTCTTTACACAAGTTACAGCTCGAGTTCGATTCTAATCAAGAAATCCGTTACCAGTTCCATCGCAAAAGCATTGCATACCGTCTAATCATACTGTACACGATGACCCAAAACGCTCATGCTCTGTCGTGGCCTGCACCGCGATGCTCTCGTTTGCAGTCCTGCTCTTGTCTGGACTGGTAGTCTATGTCGGAAGCATGCGTGAGATCTGGGAGGGAGTGGCGATGACACCGGGGCGGAATACTGTAGTGGATGATGGCGCGGTTGACGCCAAGGCGGGCGGAGTTGCTTGGCTTCGCATGGCGACGTGTGGGCGAGTCTGATCTTCATCTCGAAGCAGGGCAGCGCCTGCCGATCTTGAATCTTGATGCTCGGCGATTTCGGGCACGGCTGAAAAAGTCGGAATTGTTAGGCCGCTCCACTACAGGACTTCTGAAATTTGTTAAGTCTTTGGCACCCTTGCTCCACATGAACGGGCGAAGTGCGGAAAGGCCAGTGCGGCACTGAGCCTTTCGCACATCTCACATCCTCTCCACCAACCTTTGGCTTCGACTCGGCATCCTTTCCCGGATCCCCCTGGCTTGCACACACCATCTGCATCACACGGACTAACTCGGATCAGACTAAGGATATACCGTCACCATGTTGATCAAGGTCAAGACGCTCACTGGCAAGGGTAGGTGAACTTGCACAGCTCTCTTGCGTTGGATGATACTGACCGGAGCTTGGATTGGGACGCGGGACAGAGATCGAGCTGGATATCGAGCAGACGGACAAGATCCAGCGCATCAAGGAGCGCGTCGAGGAGAAGGAGGGCATCCCACCAGCACAGCAGCGACTCATCTTTGGCGGGAAGCAAATGTAAGCTCCCACCATCACAGTGCCAGCAAAGATATCCGAAAGCACGCGCTGATCTGATTGCTGATTTGACGTGGTGCAGGCATGACGAGAAGACAGCCAAGGACTTTGGCGTCGAAGGCGGTAGCGTGCTCCATGTAAGTTGGCTGCAGTGGCTGTAGAGCGAGGCGGATACTGATCAGCTTTGGTGCCGGATTACAGCTCGTCCTTGCGCTCCGTGGCGGCCAGTAATCGAAAGCGCGAAGCCTCGGCGGCTCAAGCCATGTACCATTAATCCAGCTCAAAGTGCGTCCTGCCATTCCGATCAGACTAGACACTGCCCGACGTGTCCACTGCTGCATGAACAATCAACAGCGAGCGAGCGAGCGCACAACCTGCGACATCGGCTTTGGCATCAACACACGGTCACAGAACCATTCAGACCACACATTTGGACAGCCCAACTTCTGCACTTGGAAAGGAGGATGAACAGGGTGCGGTGGATCTAGATGATGCTCTGTCGGTCGGCGAGGGCGATGCTGCCGGTACCGGCGCCGAGCGCCTTGAGGTGTTTGATGAGCTGGTCGAGGTTCACAACTTCGCCCTGGCCCTGGCCCTCGTCGGAGTCCTTGCCCTTCTGCTGCTTCACGCGCACCTGTCTCGCGTCGGCGTTCCACTCGTTGGGCGCCAGGATGACGGCAAAGGGGATGCCCTCCTTGTCGACGACGCCGAACTGCTGCGGCAGCTTGGGCTTGGCCTTGTGCATGAATTCGGCCTTGATGCCGGCATCCCAGAGCATCTTGGCCACCTGCATGCGCTCCTTGAGCAGTCCCTCGCCGACAGACATGACGTAGACGTCGACTTCCTTCGATCGCACGCTGGTGCGCTCGCCGCGCGCCTCCTTCTCGCGCAACCTCTGCATCATGATGGCAAACACGCGCTCGACACCGATCGACACGCCGACGCACGGAACCGCATCGGGCTTCTTGGAGCCAGAGAACATGCCCACCAGGTTGTCGTATCGTCCTCCGGCAGCGATGGAGCCGACACCAACGGTCGACTCGTCCACCTCCTCCTCGCCATCCGCCGGCTTCTTCTTCTTGGTCTTCTTCTCGGGCGCCTTGTCCTGCGCAGCGGCAGCGTCACCGCTGAAGCCGGGCGGGGCCGAGGCGGCCGTGACGGCCTCGTAGATGAGGCCGGTGTAGTAGTCGAGGCCTCGGGCAAGGCTGAGGTCGAAGCTCATTCGGTCCGAGATGCCGTAGACGTCGAGGTAGTCGAAGAGGAGCTCCATGTCCTTGACACCCTGCGAGGCGGTGGCGTGACCGGACATGACGGCGTCTGCCTTGAGCTTTTCGAGCAGGTCGCGACCGCCCTTGAGCTTGACGTACTCGCCGATGCGGTCGGCGACGTCCTCGGCGAGGCCCTTGTCGACGGTCATCTCGCGCTTGACTTCGGACCAGGGCGACTTGTCGAGCTTGTCGACGGCGGAGCTGATGGTGCGGATCTTGTCGGCAGGGACGCCGCAGATGTCAAAGATGCCGTCGAGGATCTTGCGGTGGTTGATCTTGATGGTGAAGCCCTCGATGCCGAGGGCGTCGAGCGCCTCGACGAGGATGCAGAGCACCTCGGAGTCGGGCACCATGGGGTCGTAGACGCCGGCGATATCGATATCGCACTGGTAGAACTCGCGGAAGCGGCCCTTGGACATGGCGGGCTGGTCGCGACGGTAGACCTTGGCGATGTGGTAGCGCTTGATGTTGCCGTGCTCGGAGGGGTTCATGGCGACGAAGCGGGCAAAGGGCACGGTGAGATCGTAGCGCAGCGAGCAGAGCTCGCCACCCTGGTCCTGGAGGTCGTAGATGAGCTTGGAGTCCTCGCCGTACTTGCCGGAGAGGATCTCCTTGAGCTCGAAGACGGGCGTGTCGATGGTGACGGCGCCGTGGGCGGAGAAGACGTCTTCGATGGTGGAGAAGATGCGCTTGCGCAGCGACATGGCGAGCGGCTCCCAGTCGCGCGTGCCCTTGGGCGTCTTGAGGGTGAACTTGACCTCCTGCTTGGACGAGCCGGCCTTGGCGCCGATGCCGAGCTGGGCGAGTTGCGCCTCGAGCTTCTTGAGCTTGCCGATCTCGGCCTTGAGCGTGGCGGGCTCGGTGTTGGCGGCGCGCAGCTGCTGGACCTTGTCGTCCTGCTCGGCGCGTGCGGCCTGGAGCGAGGCGATCTTGTTGTCGGCGTCAGACATGGTTGGCGAGCCGGAACGCAGGTACTTGAGAAGCTGTTCGGGAGGCACCTGCTTGTTGGTGAAGCTGCGCGATGGAGAAGCAGCGACTGTTCGAAAAGCTGGACGGATGCAGGAGCGCAGCAGTGACATGAACAGGAGCGGCGCCTGGCTGACTCGATGCGCTGGTCCTGTTTTGGGTTGGAAGATGGAGGAGGAAGTGGATGAGGAGGAGGATCCAGAAGGCAATCGGCACAAGAAAGTCAGAAGCGCAATCCAACCTCCATTTTTTGATCCCGAGCCGAAGAGTCACACTTGCGGAATGCCTTCTTCCCGCGCAGCCACACGGCAAAGAACAGACGCGGTCTAACATTGCTGCCCATTTTCGGAGGGTCTGTGCTGAGCAGCTCCACTCGATGGCGTCCGGCTCTGCCTTCGTTCATTCCCTCACACCCACCACCGCCGATCTCAACCATGTCGCTGACGGACGTTCCCATGTCGGCGAGTGCCCGGCAGCACTTTCAGCAGTACCTCTCGCAGCTGCCCACCTCGAGCAGTGGTGCTGGCAGCAGCAAGACCGCACCCTCCGACCCCGACGAGCTGCTGCGCCAAGCTACCATCCTGAACCGCCGAACCGACGAGCTACACGCGCGTCTCGCCGAGCACGAATCCGCCGGCACCGACGATCCGCAGCTGTTCTGGACCACCGTATCGCTGCTCAGCAACCTCCGCGATGTGTCCGTCCAGCTGGGCCGAGCCAACTCGGACCGCAGAACCGCCGATGCGCTCGCACGAACGCGGCAGAACGTGGCGATTGCCGAGTCGATGCTGAGCGTGCTCAGTGTGTCTGGTACGACGCAGGCCAGCGGGCCGTTCACCGCCCCGCTCCAACCCACTTTGGCGGTTGAGACGCCAGGCCAAGCGCCAAGCCACACAGAGCGGAAAGGATATGAGAGCTGGAGACAGGAGGCTCTTGCTGGGATTGACGACGATGCTTCGACCACATCGACGCTGGGGTACGAAGAGTCGGACGCCGAGTCGGTGCTTACGGATCCCGAGATCCACGCTGCGCCGTCCAAGCCCGCGGTGGCGCTAGGTGGCATTCGAAGGGAAGAAGATGATGATGATCTGTCCGAGTACGATCGTGGGCTCAAGTCGCGAGGCGAAGCGTCTGCCGCTGCGACAACTGCGACAACTGGGACGAATGGGACGGCGGGGGCGCCGGGGGCCAGTGAGACCATTCTCCAGTCGGACCGGGCGACGCACGAGGCGCTCTCGTCCGAGCTGCTGCGCATGGCGTCGGTGCTCAAGACCAACTCGCTCGCCTTTGCCGATGCGCTCGAACGCGACCGTGTGCTGCTCGAAAAGGCAGGTACCGATCTGGGTCAGAACCTGGACCTCATGACGCGCACGCGCGGCCGTCTCGGCGTCTACTCGAAGAAAGCCCGCAGCATGGGCTGGTTCACCCTCTCAGCCATCCTCGTCGTCATGGTCAGTTGGATGCTAATGTTTCTCCTCATCCGTCTCACCTAAACGATCTTCTTTTTGGCACAAGTATCATTGACTGTGTGGGGTTTTAGCGTTTGGACCGTGTGAGTGCTTCGTCATAGGCTTCCTTGACCTTGTTCAACTGGCCTTTGCGCGCGGCCATTTTGAAGAACCTCGCGGCATCGGCTTCGTCAAACACCAAAGGGGCGAGTTTGGCGGGTGCTACCCAGCCCCAGCTTCGTGGACGGCCGTAGAACTCGACGGCTACAGTGTGCGGTGTGTCGGGTCGATTGCGCAGCACGCTAGCCGGAATCTGCCGCTCGTCCGTCACGACAACAGCGGGAAAGTGCGGAAAGGTCTCGATCTTGGCCCACACCTTGGCGCCGTTCTCGGGCAGCGAGGCGGACGAATGGTCGCGAACGGGTGAAGTGCTCCTTGTCGCCCCGCCTCGAAGTCGCTTGCGTGGCGGAGACGCCGATCGTTCAGTGGATGCATCGCGTGCACGCAAGTTGCGTCGGGTCGACCCACTCGCATCCTCCTTTGCTGCGCTTGTCTCTCCCTGTCGAGTGCGTTTGGACTTTCGTTCGTGCCCTGCCTCTTGCGCTGAGCTGGCCGCTTCGTCCTGCGCCTCGTCGTCTGAAGTCAGCGGCGAACTCGCTGCGGTCACGCCTTCTTCGGCTGCCACATCCGCTGCCACATCCTCGGCTTTAGCCTTTTTGCCCGCAGCATTGCGCTGTCTGCCGGATGGCTTGGTCTTGTGAGCTGCAACGTGTGCCGGTTGCGGATGAGACGACGGCACCGTTCGCGACCGAGGTCGTTGCGGCGTGCTCATCGCCACACCGTCTGGCAAAGCGCTCGGTGCGGCCGCACTCGGCGATTCGGGCGCCGAGATCTTTCGTGGTCGCTGCCCAATCATCTCCGGCCGCGCCGCGCCTGCACGGTGTCGCTTGGATCCCTCGGGTAACACCCAGCCGGTGTTGAAGAGCAGGAACGAGTCGTGTGCGCCCACATCCTCCTGCACCTGCACCCCGTCCTTGGTCTTGGCCGATGCCTGCGACGGCGTTTTGCCCATGGCCGTCGCCGTTGCACCAGCGTCGGTAGACGGATCTGGGGATGTAGCCGAGCCACCGCTCTGTGCGCGCTGCCGAAGCTTGCGGCCCGAGGCCGAGAACGGTGCAGCAGGTGCGCTCGGTTCTGCGCTGGCAGTGTCGTCGGCGGCTGCGGCTCGACGCGTGCTGCGCCTCTCTACAACGGGCGCCGCAGGCGTGTCCGAGGTCTTTCGCTTTCGCGCCGTCTTGGGCACTGCTGTACTGCGCGTCGAAGCCCCGGACTTCGTCTTGCTGGCTGACGCCTCACTTGCCTCGGCGGGAGACGTCGAAGGCTCTGCAGACGGAGGCGGCGGCGGAGGCACATAGATCTGCTGCACAAAGTCTTGCACCAGGTTGGCTACCGGCGGGATGGCGAGGGCATCCGAAGGCTCTTCGCGCGCATCCTCGTGCTCTTGTTTGACCACGGGCGCAGGCACTGGAATCGAGCCGTACGCCTGCTGTCTGAGCTCTGCCTGTTCGTCGTCGTCCATCTGGGCATAGTCGCGCAGCAACGATAGAATGACGGAGGGCGGTTCGATGCCCAATTCGAGCAGATGGCGACGCGTCTCGGCATCGACTTGGACGACGTGTGCCGCCTGGGTGCCGTGCTCTGCTTCTGCTTGTTCTTGTTGCAGATGCTGCTGATGGAATCGGAGGTGGGACGATTCGATGTTGGCGAGCTCGTCGAACACGTCGGGTATCATTTTGAGGATCTTGGACGCAGCCTTGTGGTAGGGGGTATCTGGCTTGTTGTACGTCATGGCGTTGATGGTGATCTTGAGCACGTCTGTGCGCATCTCTTCCACGGATTCGTACTCTTTGTTGGCGATCTTCTGCTTGATGGCGGCCCAGTCCATGGGCTCCTTGACAATCTCGTAGTAGTCCGGCACGTCGAGCTTGGAGACGGGCAGAGCGAAGAAGCCGTGCTTATCGACGGCCTCGAACTTGGCGATGGCGGCGCGCAGGTCTGCGTGGAAGGGAAAGAGGACGGGTTCGACGAGCGAGTCGCGGATCTCGTGTGCCTGGCGCAGCTTTTCCTTCTCGCGCTTGCGCACCTGTTCGACGAGCATGCGCACGCGTTCGAGGTCCTCGCGCACGCTGCGAAGAAAGTGGAGCTTTTTGATCTTTTGCGCGTCGGTCTGTTCCTTGTTCTGCGAAGAGGCTGTCCACGGTTCGAGGTGGAGACGCTTGAGAAGCGGTGCGCCGCGACGAGCTTCGCGCTTGAGCGACCAGTAGCGCGCGATGAGCTGAACCGCGGTTGCCTTCTTGCGCAGGTGGATCTTGGCCATGTACTCGAGCACGCGGTTGGCGATGTAGGCGGGCACGAGCGGCGGGCCCACCTTGAAGCTCTTCTTGTAGGCCCTGGCGGACTTGGACGAGTTGCGAGGCGCGCTTGTGGATGCGCGGTTGTCGGAGCCGCCGACGATGGAGCTGCGGCGACTGACAGAGATGAGTGGTGCACCCACGCCGGACTCGACCGACTGCTCGCGGGTGCGAGAGGCGGCAAAGGGAGAGGCACGGTGAGGGGTGTCTGGACGGTCGTCGTCCACAGCGCCTTGCCTGCCAAAGTCGATCTTGAGCTGGTGACGCATCTGGAGGGGCATGTGGCGGTGGCAGCATGCGCGCAGCACTTCGGAGCCGTCTTCGTCGCTGTCATCCGAGTCGTCGTACAGATGGCGCGAGACGCGGGTGCGCTCGGTGCGGAAGAGGAGGCCGGCCTTGCGCGCGCAGGTGACGTGGAAGGCGGTGAAGCAGGAGCGATTGTCGCACTGGATGCAGGCGCCCATTCTGTGCCTGCAGAGGTAGCACTGGAGCTTCCACCTTGCCTTTGGGATGCGTTCGACGCTGTCGATGGGTTCCATGTAGACGGGGTTGCTGACGCCGGTTTCGGGCACCCACATGGCGCAGAGGAGATGGGCCCACTTGCCCGTGGTTGTCTGCTTGAAGGCGCCGCCCTCGTGCGGGCAGAGGAGGCAGGACACGGCGCGGTCGGGGGAGACGGTGCACTTGCGACAGAGCCACTGGCCCTCGGGGATGTATGGGATGCCGTAGCAGTCCTGGTGGACGGCGAGGTTGCAGCCGTCGCAGAATACGATTGCGTTCGAGTTTTCGGCTTCGCCATCGTCGCAGATGGCGCACTTGCTGTCTTCGCCTCCCTCGGAGTCTGCGTCGTCGTCGTGTGTGCCTGCTGCAGCGTCGGCGGCTGCGGCGCCTGGACGTACTTTGGGCGGGACGCGTGTCATGAGGTCGAACCACTCCTTCTCGAGCTGGTCGAGGATGATCTCGAAAGTCTCGTAGGAGATGGTGTCGAGGCCGTCCTTGCGGCGCTCTTGGTTGAGTGCATCGAGCCACTCCTGGTCCTGCTCGTCCATGTCGTACTCGACCTGCCTCTTGAGGTCGCCTTCGACAGGCTCGACATAGCGAATGTAGTGGTGAGGCTTGACGTATTCTGCGCCGTCATTGTAGCCAAAGGGAAGCGCGTGGGGGTCGATGATGCCCGGCGGGATGTGGAAGAGGAGCGACTCGTCTGGGGGGATCTTTCGGAAGCTGACCTTGGGTAGAGACGAGGCGAGCGGGATGTTGTTGGGCTGTGCTGGGATGCCCGGCATGACGGCGAGCTGAGCTAAGCCGAAGCGACGCCAGTGACGACCTGCTAGCTCGCTCGCGCTCTGCGGGGAATAATTGAAGGGCGGAGCCTAGATGGGCATCGCTTGTTGGAGCGCGGCGACTATGTTGACAGCATGCGCGCGATGTCGGCCAAGAACGCGTGTAAGCCAAGGAGGCGCTGTCGCGACTGAATGCGGGTGGCCGTATGCGGTTCGGGTGACGATCTCGCTGCGTCGGTGCTTGGGATCGGACAGCTGTCAAAGAACGTCAAAGCGGTGAGCGTCGTGGGGTGGGACTGAGCAGGTGCGAGACGCAAGAATGATGAGATGAGGTTGAAGAGGGAGGGCGCGTCGAAGCTGGCCAAAGCGTTCAAGACCCTTACGCGTGGCTTCAAACTGAAAAGTGTTAGACCACAATTGAGCTCGGGAGACGGAAGCCAACACCGAGGAGCGCTCAATTTTGGCTGAGCCAGAAGGCCAATCTTAGCTCATGCTCGCCTTCCTCCTTCTCCTACACTATCTCGACGTCGCATCTCCAACTCGACCCCGCATACGTCTACACAATGATGACACTTCCAACGCTCAGAGCAGCCTCGGCTAGCGTGACACGCGCACCTATGGGATCGCGCTTCAACTCGACTGGCGCAGGAAGCGGAGCGGATACGTCGTACGGCTCGGCAACGCGGTCCACAGTGCCTCCTCGATCCACACATGCCACCTACCACCCGGGCGGATACGGCATCTCAGAGGGCCTCAAGCGCGCGCGAAAGCCGTACCGATTCCGCAACATCCTCACGGGATCGCTCATCATGGGATTCGCCACCAGCGTTTACTTTTACTCGATCTCCAAGGTGCGTGCTCTTCGGCGAGGCGTGTGCTGTACACGCATGCCCAGTGCATTCGGCATGACACTGACCATTCCCACGTCTCTCTTTACTCTCTCCTCGTGCCCTTCTTGGTGCCACAGGTCAAGCAAGACGACTTTTCCGACCTCGCCGACGTCAGGGCTCCTGGCGCCGCGGCCGACTCAGCATCCGCACCCGTCACCACCGAGTCGGATCACAAGCACAAGGTGTAGACAGAGTCATTTGCCGTACAAAGGAATCCTACGAGCTTCTGCACATCTGTCCCGTGCCTGGCTGCGGCTAGCTCCTAGCGCACATCATGCCAACGTCTTTCATTTTGAAGCACTCCGTCGGTGAACAGGCTGCTGAGAGTTCCGTACGCTCAGAGTGATATCGCATGGTGGCGAGTCTCGGCGTGGATGCCTTCGCCGTCTGCGGGTAGTGTGCAAGGATGCGCTGACAGCGCTGGTCGCTTTCAAGACGGCGGAGGGAATCGGCTTCCGAAAGCGACTGAATCGGGCCAAGCCGAGTCGCATAAAAGCGAGCGTCAACCTCCACTTTTGAGGATGCGCAGCAGCGGCCGTCCCTTTGTGCTCGGCGTTCCTCCGTGCCTCCTTCTCCCACGTCCATCCGTCGCTCATCGCAACTTGACTATATAACAGCTCCCTCAGCTTCAGTCCGCTCCGTCAAAGTCTCCATCAACCACGATGGCAGGCTCAAGAGCGGCTGCAGCTGCAGCTCAGCGGCAGCTCGTTAGGACCGCTGCCGACACCACCTTCTCCGTACCCGCACGCATCGCGACCAGATCCATCGCCACGAGCGTCGCAACAGCATCGTCTAGACTGGGACGTGGCTCGAGGTTCACACTGTCCAAAGATGGTCCTCACGCCCGGCGCACCCCGCGCAAGTCTACCCCGCACGGCGATCCGCACAATGTCCCACACGAGGCGGCTGCATCCACGCCAGTGTCAGCACCTTCGCAGACGCACCAACCAGCGCAACCTTCAACAGCTTCCACCCAGGCAGAACCCACTCAACCTGGCGCTAGCGCGGCATCCGCGGCAGTGGCTACCGATCCATCGCTCCATGTTCCCGCGGTCGTGCCGGACGCACCGCAAGACGTGCTGCAGCCGTCCAAGCCCGAGTTCGAGGGGGCCACGCGGCTGCTCTCGCAGTCCGCACTGGTGGTGACGCGCGAAATCGAGATGATGAACATCTTCCTCGGCTTCGAACAGGCGAACAAGTACTCGATCCATGCACCGTCCGGTGAGCTCGTCGGCTACCTTGCCGAAGAAGAGCAGGGCTTCATGACCGGAGCCATGAAGCGGCAGCTTCTGCGCACGCACCGACCATTCCGGGCGACTGTCATGGATGCCTCAGGCAAGCCGGTGCTCATGATCCGTCGACCTTTCACATGGATCAACTCGACCGCACACATCTATGCCGTTCGCTCCGACTATCCCATCGGCTACGGTGCGCCGCAGGATGCGGATTTGGAGTTGATTGGTGAGGTGCAGCAGCGATGGCATCTGTACAGGCGAAAGTACGAGCTCTTCCTCCGTCGTCGCGAGGCGGAGGCGGAGAGCTTTCAGCAGTTCGCAAACATCGATGCCATGCTGCTCAGCTGGACCTTTATGATGCAGGATGCGGACAGCAAGCTGGTCGGTGCGATCGATCGCAACTTTCGCGGCTTTGGACGCGAGATCTTCACCGACACCGGTCAGTATGTGCTGCGCTTTGACTCGGTTGGCGAAACAGCCATGACCGAGGCTCGACTCACACCGCCCTCTAGCGGGTCTCAGCGCGATCAGGATCTGGCAAAGGGGATGGAGCTGGTGAAGAGCCACGGCACGAGAGCGCTGACGCTCGACGAGCGTGCAGTGGCACTGGCAACCGCGGTGAGCATCGACTTTGACTACTTCAGCCGCCACTCGGAAGGCGCACATGGCGGAGGCATGTTCCCCTGGTTCTACATGGGCGGCATGGGCGGAGGTGGAGGCAACGCCGAGGCCCCCCAAGGCGCAAGTAGCGAAAATGTGCCTGCTCAGCAGGGTGGATCGGCAGACGATGGGTTCGGTGCCGGTGTGGCGGGNAGCGAAAATGTGCCTGCTCAGCAGGGTGGATCGGCAGACGATGGGTTCGGTGCCGGTGTGGCGGGCGGAGCGGTGGGAGGCGGAATGGACTATCCTTACGGACCATCGGACTCGGGCATGAGCCAGGATTCGCGGCTGGATCAACCGCCTCCCAATGCAAGCGGATATGGAGAGGATGCACCCACGAGCGCACAGCAGGACTCGCCGTGGTGGAATGCAGACCAGCAAGGCCAGGCGCAGGACGGCGATGTGTGGGGCACGGCCGACTCGGACCCCTGGGCCGGCGCCAACGACACGCAGCAGCAGGACTCAAACTCCTGGGGCAGCTGGGGCGGCGGCGACAGTGGCGATGGCGGAGGAGGCTGGGGCGGCTTCTTTGGAGGTGACGGCGGTGGAAGCGACTGGTGAACCCGCCGCCTAATTCTAAATATACTCTTCCCATCACGAAAGCTGATGTTGAATGTCAACTTGTCGTTGAAACTTTTGCGAGCAGCGGGAGGGTAGTGTACACGGATGGAGGCTGGGGGGTTTTACTTTTGGTCCTGGATGTGGACGCCGTTCCTGGCAGCTTGGCGGAGCATCTCGTGCTGTCTGAGCGCGACGATCCTCTGCGCGGGCGTGAGGTGCGGGTTGGCCTCGATTCCCTCGGTCCTGAGCACGGTGCCGATGGACATGAAGAAGCCAAACGTGGCTGCGGAGCTGAGCATGAACTGCGAGAGTGTGCCGAGTGCGCCCCTTGGCCCTGGACCTGCACGCAGGATCTGGATACCGCCACCGATGAATCCGATCGTCAGACCGACCAGCGTGCCTGTCATGGCACCCATCTTGACTGTGAGAGCAAAGCAGCAGCACAAGGATCCGCGTCAGCAGACGTTGGTGCAGAGCGGGGATGGAGGGAGCGCGGCTTACTCTTTTGGAACACGGTGGGTTCACCACCGGGCATTCCCTGCATCTGAGGCGGAGGCGGCATGGCTGGATAAGCTGTACACTTGGTGGTGGATGTAGGTGGAGGAGAGGCAGGGCTGGGCTTGGCTTAGCTACGGAGCCATAAAAAAGGTGGACGGATCCGAGTGGGATTCGAGGCGTTTCGACCGAGCTGCTCGACCTAACACGGCTGACTTTTGATGCCTCCACATGCGCCTCGTGCATCAACCACCTCTCATCCTCCTACCCACCACTCGGAGCATCATGACGACGGCACTCAGCTCGATCCCGACGCTTGCGTCGCTCTACACCTCTACGCTCTCGCGGCCTGCTGCTTCGTCCTTCGCCAGCAGCATCTATCCGTTCTCCTCGTTGCTCTCCGTCCACTGTGGCGACATCACGACGCTGGAGGTTGATGCGATCGTCAATGCGGCCAACACCTCGCTGCTCGGAGGCGGTGGAGTCGACGGTGCAATCCACCGTGCTGCAGGCCCATCCCTCCTAGCCGAGTGTCGCAGGCTCAACGGCTGCAAGACGGGAGAAGCAAAACTCACCGCGGCGTACGACCTACCTGCCAAACACGTGATTCACACCGTCGGACCGGTGTATTCATCCCATGATCCGGCCAAAGCAGAGACGCTGCTCAGAAACGCCTACAACAACAGTCTGGAGGAGTGCATAAAGGCAGGCGGAAGGAGCATTGCATTTCCAAGCATCTCGACCGGCGTATACGGATATCCATTCGACAAAGCCGCCGCTGCAGCGCTAGACCAAATCGGCCAGTGGCTCGAACATGACAACAACCACAAATCCGTAAGCCAATCCCCCACCTCAGTTCTCAACAGATCAAACTCTAACTCGTCTATCCCTGTGTTGTAGATCGACCGGGTCGTGCTGTGCTGCTTCTCACAAAAGGACTACAGCAAGTATCTCGATATCGCGCCGTCCTACTTTCCGCCCCAAGACATGTTTGACGAGTACGCAGAGACATAGTCACCGCTCCCTGTGCGCAAGGAAATCTGTGATATTTTGGGGTGCATCGTTGCAACGTGTGCGAGCGGGGGAATGCTGAGAACCGAAAGGAAAAGAAGAGAGAGCGAAGGGAAGGGAACTAGTAGTCGGTGCCGCGCGATACGACCTCCTTGCATGTGGGACGCAGGAGGATAGTGTGTTCGTACTGCGCCGTCATGGCGTCGGCCACATCGCACAGGGGTGGGTAGTCCTGGACGACGCCGAGCGAGACGAGGTGCTTGAGGCCGAGCAGGTAGTTCTTCTCTCCGACGCGGTCGAGGTAGCGCCTGCAGAAGGGGAGCGAGTCAAAGTGCTTGTTGATGGTGCGCAGCAGGCCGTGTGCCGAGTGAACTCGGATGGGGATCGACTTGGGCAGACGCGCCTTTCTCGCATAGTGCGAGCACTCGCCCTGGTCGATCACGTAGCCACGACCCGTAGAACCGAACGTCTCGATGGCGTAGTACTCGCCCTCCTCCATCTTGACATCGAGGTCGGGCATGGCGACGATGGGCACCGACTTGCCGCCGTGGATCGAGTAGCGCTCGATGCTGTGGCCGTTGAGGTTCTGCACGCACTTGACCTGGTGCATCTTGCCGTTCGCCTCGAACTCGTGCGACTCCATCACCTCCTGGATCGCCGCGCCGATCTCGCCCAGACGCGCATCGATGCCCGCCTCCTTGACACCGGCGTTGGTGGCCGCCTTGACCGCCGCCAGCAACGGGTCCCAGGTAGGCTCAAAGTTGAGCGTAAACGCCGAGTCGACGATGCGTCCCTTGACGTGCACGCCAAAGTCGACCTTGAGCACGTCGGTGGCCTGCAGCACGCGCTTGTCTCCCGCGTTGGGCGTGTAGTGTGCGGCGCACTCGTTGACCGAGACACCGGTGGGGAAGCCGATGCCCGACTCGAAGCCCTCGGCCTCGACAAGAGCACGCGTGCCGTCCTCGACGAGCTCTGCAATCTCGATCATCGACATGCCCGGCTTGATGGCGGCCTGGGCGTACTGACGCACCTGGCGATGCACCTCGGCGGCACGGCGGATGATGTTGTAGTCGAAGCCATCCTCCTGCTGGACAATGCGCTCGCGCTCGCGCAGCTCCTCGTCCGTGACGCGCTTCCTCTCCTCGCTGAACTTGGAGGTGTCGTACTGCTGGATCTCGCCCACAGGGAACTTGCCGTTGGTGAAGATCTTGGTGAGGCCCACACGCGGAGGCACGGTCTGGGTGAGCTTGGCCTTGGACTTCTTCTTCTTCTTCTTGTTCTTCTTCTTCTTCTTGGCGGCACCGGTAGTAGCGGCGGCACCTGCGTCGTCCTCGTCGTCATCGTCATCGTCGTCGTCGTCGTTGTCGTCGCCGTCCTCCTCGTTGTCGCCGTTGGCGTGGCCGTTGGTGTGGCCGTTGGAGTTGCCGTTGGTGGCAGGGAGGTTGGTCTGGGCGAGCTGGTCGGCGACCTTGTCTACGGACGCCGAAGCGCCGTTGGTGGGAGCAGCAGCAGCGGTCATATTGAGGCGAAGCTGCAGATGCCGGTGATGGACAAGCTGATGGAGAAGTGTGAGTCGCCGCAACCTCCGCCGATGCGAGCTCAGTCGGCTTGACTTTTTTGGCCACTCTGAGCAGCTCCGTTTCGGTTTGGACTGCCCGAAAAGAAAGTCCCGACGCTTCTCGGACGGCACATCATCGGGAGCTGTTCCCGATTTCAATTTTCCGCTTGGCTCTGGATCGCGATATCGAGCTGCAAGAAATGGGGGGTTGCTTCTGACTCGGCTCATCCCCCACACGTACGCACAGCTGGAAGCAGAGCAGAGAGTGGACGACCCCGGTTGGACGCCGCAGGGCATCGAAGCGGCTCATCCGCAGAAACCGAGCCGTTCCAACACGACGTCGGAATTGGGCCGAGGCGCACCGACCCACTTTTCTCACCGCGCCGAGTCAAATTTTTTGGTTTCTGTTCCTTTCTTCCTCCTCAGAGTCACGACAAAATTCAGAGGTGGGAGGAGGGCCTCCGGAAAGATCCTTGGGAGCGAGATGTGCCTGCCTTTTTTTTCGCGCTGGGAAATTTTTAGGCTTGCTTCGGCGTTACCGATGCGCTTCCAGTCGCAGCAGGAACCACGCCGGGCAAGGAAAAGGAGGAAAAAAATGGCGAGTCGGCAGGTGCAGAAGAAGCGACAAGGTTGAGTTGCGCAGACCCTGAGTGCAGCAGAAGCGGCGGCAGCAGCAGTGGAAGCGCAGCCGAAGCTCCAGCCACGGCCGGCCCCACCAATCGGCGCCCAATCGAGTCGAGGCAAAGGCCTTCTTCGATAGGCTCGCTTGCTCTGATTCGCGTTGGGAGCGCGATCGCGATCCAGCTGCTCCCACCGCCGCCTCCTTGCCTCTTCTCCTCTAGGTATCCACCTCGCCAGTCCCTTTCTCCTCTCCATCTTACACGCGGGCCTGCTGCTGTCGTCGTTGCGTCATGTGTGGCATCACAGCACTCCTCCTCGCCTCGGTCGACCAGTCGGCTGCGCCCGAGATCAACGAGGCGCTCTCGCTCCTCCAGCACCGCGGTCAGGATGCCGCTGGTATCGTGACGTGCGGCAACAAGGGCCGCTTCTACCAGTGCAAGGCGAACGGCATGGTCCGCGATGTCTTTGACGTCAACGCCGTCGCGCGTCTCCAGGGAAACATGGGCGTCGGCCACGTTCGATACCCCACCGCCGGCTCCTCGGCGCACTCGGAGGCGCAGCCCTTCTACGTCAACTCGCCCTACGGCATCACCTTCGCCCACAACGGCAACCTCATCAACACCGACGAGCTGCGTCGCTTCCTCGATGCCGACGCCCACCGTCACATCAACACCGATTCGGACTCGGAGGTGCTCCTCAACATCTTTGCCAACAACCTGCAGAAAACGGGCAAGTTCCGCATCAACGAGGAGGACATCTTCACCGCCATTCGCGACCTCATGAAGCAGTGCAAGGGCGGCTACACCTGCATCGCCATGCTTGCTGGTTTCGGCATCATCGCCTTCCGCGACCCCAACGGCATCCGTCCGCTCGGCATGTGCTCGCGCCCTTCGTCCGCCGCCGACGGCGAGCTGCCCCTCGAGGGCCACGGCAAGGACTACTGCTTCACCTCCGAGTCGGTCGTCTGCGACGCGCTTGGCTTTGAGGACTTTGAGGACATCAAGGCCGGCGAGGCGGTCATCATCACCAAGTACGCAGTGTCGCGTCGCATCCTCACGCCGCCCGCCGACTCGCCCGACGCCTACGCCTTCTCGCCCGACATCTTCGAGTACGTCTACTTTGCCCGCCCCGACAGCGTCATGGACGGCGTCTCGGTCTACCGCTCGCGCATGGCCATGGGCGACAAGCTCGCCGACGAGGTGCGCCGCCAGCTGCAGAAGACGGGCGAGTCGATCGACGTCGTGATCCCCGTGCCCGACACCTCGCGCGTCGCGGCGCTGCAGCTCGCCCAGAACCTCGGCGTGCCGTACCGCGAGGGCTTCATCAAGAACCGCTACGTCGGCCGCACGTTCATCATGCCCGGCCAGAGCGTGCGTCGCAAGAACGTGCGCCGCAAGCTCAACGCCATGGCGCTCGAGTTCAACAACAAGAACGTGCTGATCGTCGACGACTCGATCGTGCGCGGCACGACGTCCAAAGAGATCATCCAGATGGCGCGCGATGCGGGCGCCAAAAAGGTCATCATGGCGTCGTGTGCGCCGCCCATCCGCTACTCGAACGTGTACGGCATCGACATGCCGTCGCGCCAGGAGCTCGTGGCGTACGGCCGCACGGTGGAGCAGGTGGCCGAGTACATCCAGGCGGACATGGTGATCTACCAGACGCTCGAGGACCTCATCGACTCGGTGCAGCAGTTCAACCCGGAGCTCAAGCAGTTTGACTGCTCCGTGTTCGACGGCAAGTACGTCACGGGTGGTGTGGATTCGGCGTACATTGCGCATCTCGAGCATCTGCGCAGCGAAAACGCCAAGGCCAAGAAGGCGGCCACCAAGATCCCCGTGATCGCCGAGAGCCAGAAGAAGATCTATGCCAGCCGCGCCAGTCCGGCCGCGTCGAGCGTGGCGGGCAACGACGATCGGCTTGCGGTGGACGCTGCACCGGCAGGCGCCAACGGCAGCGCTGCCAACGGCAACCGAAAGCGCAGGCTCACCGAGGACGAGATGGAGGAGGAGGACAAGCAGCAGGACGTCGGATGCTCGGGCCCCATGAACGGCGCCGACGACATCGGCCTGTTCAACAGCTGGACGCGCTAATGTGCGCGCCGCGCGCCCAAAAGCATCATCGCTATGCACCAGCGTGTGGTCGTCGATCGGTTCGTATAATGTCAAATGTTACCTTGAATCAGGTCGGGTCATGCATGCATGAGACAGAGACGGTGAGATTGCGTACAAGTACAGGATGAGATGGTACAAAGCAGGGCCAGGTCAAGGGGGGGATCATTCGTCGTCGCTTTCGGAGTCGTCTTGCGAGAGATCGGAAGCTGCGTCAAAGTCTGCAGTTGCTGTGGCGGCGATTTCGGCGCTGAGGCCTGCGACGCTCGCCTCGTTGCGGTCGCCGCTATTTGCGTCGAGCCCCGCGGCCTTCTGTTGTGCCTGAATGCGTTGACCTGATCAGACACGGAAGCAATGCCAAAGTCAGTTACAAGAGCCTCGTGTTTGTTTGGGCTGAGAGAGAAGGCTTACGAGTGAGGACGAGGATCGCCTGTTTGTCGGCCCGTTCTAGACGGCGGAGACGTTTTTCGAGGTCACGCTTGAGGTCCCAGTTGGGCCGTTTGGGCGCGATGTTGGTGAGGTCCAGATCCTCTTTGCGTCTGCGTTCGTCGTCGGCAAGTGTAGATTGCTGCAGACCGTCGACGTCCTTTTCGACTGTATCGGGAAGGTCGCGTGCGGAGGTGAAGCGACGCATCTGGCCGGTGATCGGGTCGTAGTTGCGAAAGTGGCGTTTGATGAGCAGTCCAGCGTCGTTGGATCGCAATGAGGCTTGGCCGGACTGCTCGTCGTTGCGACGCTGACGCAGCAGCAGCAGCTTCTGCTTGCGCGCGTGCGAGAACGCTTCCATCGACATCCTGACACACTTTCGCCGCAATGCAAGAACAGCTAGAGTGCAGATGCGTGGTGGTGAAGGTGGACACAAAGCGGAGGAGGCGTGGAAACGCGATTTGGAGGCGCCGATTCGGGACTCGGAATTCATTGCCGCGCGACTAACCGACGCCGCCTCAGCAAAGGGTTCTCTCTTTCTCCCTTTCTCTCTCCTCCGCCATTTCACCCACCGTTCGGCCACCACAACAATCTTGCGACACCGTCTTGCAGGGATCGCCCCTCGTCACGGCCAAGATACACCATGTCGCGCTCACGCTCGCCTCGGGCGGGCTCAGCGGGCGCCTCTCGCTCGAGCGACAACGACGACGCTCCCGTGGCCTCCACATCCTACCGCATCGAGCGCTTCGACTCCTCCTCTACCACCGATCTCATGGTCACATCGCGCTCGAAGCGCAGCACCGCAGGTAATCGCCTCAAAGCGCTGCTAGATCAGGAGCTCGAGAAGGACGAGGTGTTCGCTGAGGTCGAGAACGACGTCGACTTTGAGGCGAACGAGCACGACGACGGCGTCGACATTGTCGACAGCGACTTTGACCGCGACTCGGACGACGATGCACGCGCCGGTGTCGACGACGACTCTGCGGGCGAGCGCGAGATCGAAGCGCAAGAAAAGGCGGACAAGCAGAAACGCCGTGCCACCGCGCGGGCGGTGGGAATCGTCAAGCGTCCTGCGCCCGTCCGTGCGCCGCCGGAACCAAAGCGTCGTCGAATCAGCTTTGCGCCGCAAGAAGCCACCAGCCGCTCGTCACCAAGCTCCACACGCGCCGGGTCGGCGGACTCGCCAGCGGGACGCAGAAGTTCGGCACGCACAGCGACGGTGCAGTCCAAGCTGCAGGTCGAGACGCGTCTCGAGGAGGCGACGCAGCGCAAGGCGGCCCAGCCCGTGCGGGTGGTGCAGAAGAAGAAGGAGAGTCTCACGCAGGATGCGCTGATCGCAGAGGCGCTCGAGGTCGAGGAGGAGAACAGGGAGAGCTTGCGCAGGTTCTTGGAGCAGGAGGAGGAGAGGAGGGCAAAGCAGAGGCAGAGAAAGGAGCGCATCACCGGGCCGTTTGTCAGGTGGGTCAGTGTAGGGCTCAAGACGCGTGTCGTCGAGGATGTGACGCTGCAGAAAGTACGCGCAGTGGACGCCGGTGCGAGCAAGGAATCCGCAGAACAGCCCGGCACGATGACTGCGACACAGCCAAGCGCTGTGCAAGAAGGTGTCGAAGGTGAAAGCAGTGCGCCAGATCCAGCAGCCGTTGCGCATGGCCACGCCGCGGCTTCGTCTCAAGGAGCACAAGATGATGCGCAGGCCACTGCCAAGTCGGAGGAACCTGCAACAGCAGTGCAATCTGCACCGGCCGCATCGACATCAGGCGTTGATCCCAGGGGCACCTCCGCTCCCTCGCCCGCTCACCACAGCGAGGCGTCAAAAACATCACCTGCATCCAACCTGGCTTCTTCGAGCTCGCTCACGCTGGACCCGGTTCTAGCAGCGCGCGCCGAGACGCTTTTGCAACGAACCTCTACCTCCACACACGCTCCTTCCTCCGCCCCCTCCGCGTCAGATAGTGGGTGGGAGAAGCAAGCGCGCACTTTACTATCCGTCGAACGGATGCCCGAGGACTGGGAGTGGTTGGACGAGTTCAACGCGCTGCTTGGCACTCACTGCAACTGGGAGTCGTACCCTTTCGTTCCGCATCGCAATCGACCCCTGCGACCGCGCCAAAGCGTCTGCCCAATCACAGGGCTGCCGGCGATCTACAAGGATCCCAGGACGGGCATCCCGTATGCAACCGCCCATGCCTACGCAGTCATCACCAAGGTCATCCAGCAAAAGTTCAGGTGGTCCAATGGTCCATGGGGCATCTACACCGATCATGAAGATGAACCTGGTCCAGCCAAGGTGTGGCAGAAAGCTAGGGAGATCAGTCCGAAACCAAAGCCCGAAGAAAGCAAGGAGACCAAGGAGACCAAGGAGGAGAGAGGCAAAGAGAAGCAAAAGCAAAAGGAAAAGGAGGACAAACGATCCAAACCTGGCTTCGACGTTGTGCTCACCAACGCCATCGCTCCGGGAGATGAAAAGGCGCTACTCGCTCAGGCGCTCTCCCTCCCCGCTGGCTCAACACGATCAGGTAGACGCGTCCATCGTACCTAAGACAGCACACTGCTTACGAGCACAAGTTGAGTTTTTGATTGCTTTTTGGGCGTGGGTTAGTCCCAGGATGGATTGAGGCTCGCCGCGTTGCGCAGCGGCTTGATGGATGTCTCGTCGACCTTGCCGTTGCCGTGGGAGCTGGTGCGGCGGGTGTGCCGGCGTGCAGCAAAGTCGCGTGGCACCCAGTGGCTCGCTTCGTCCACAGCAGCTTGCCAGCGCGCCACGTCGGCATGCGTGTAGGCCAGCCAGAGATCCGACTCGACAAAGTCGGACGCACTCGAGGCAAGGTTGTGGTGGTGAACCGTCTGCACGCGAAGCTCCCAGCACCGGCCATCGCTACCCACCACCACGCTGCGTCGATCACTACCATCCGCCGTGCTGGGGACGGCAAGGCCGGTGGCGCCAGTGCTGCTCTCGGCCGCATCGGGCGCAACAAGGTGGAGCGCATCGAGCAGCACGTTCACGCGGCCAGCACAAGCGGCACGCACCTCGTCGTCCGACCACAAATCCCACAGCTTCGACACGGCCTCCTCACTTGCGCGCGCATCGACACCCTCGTCGCCATGCCACTGCGCATGCACGTACAGCTGGCGCTGCTTCTCCACGATGCGCGCCACAATCTCGTCCTCGGCCATCGGCACCGCCGTCTGCAGCTGGCGCTTGCCCGTCTCGGCCACCTGACCGGCGGGGAGCGAGCAATCGTACCGGTGACTCCACACGAGCTGGTGGCCGCTGAATGGGGTCGTGGGCGCCGAACCTGCGTCGAGCTGCTGCGCCTGCAACTGCTCCACCACGCTGCCGAGCAGGGGTGTCTGTGGAGATGGGCTGCTGAGGAATGGCAGGTTCTCGGCTCGACGGCTGCGTGCACGCCGTCCCGAGCGGCCGCGCTCGCCTCCATCCTCCTCGTTCTCGTCGCCATCGCGGCTGATGGCCTCGTCGTACATGTCGTGCAGCCGCGTCTCCACCGGCGGCTTGGGCGCCGCACGCGACTGCAGGAAGCGATCCGAGAACGGGTGCGACGACTGAATGTGTGCGCCGCGCTCTGCATCCTCCTTGCGCTCCGCCGCGCGCGACGCCGCCGAGTGGCGCACAAAGATCGCAGTCTGCGTGGCATAGCGCAGGCGCTCGTCGGCGTTGGAGGTGGTGCGGGGGCGTGCGGCCTTCCAGATCTTGCCGCCTTGCTCGGGCGGAACGGGCGGGTCCATCTGGTCCTTGGGCACGCGGTAGATGCCGGCGCCGATGCCCTTGATGCTGACCTCGTAGCCAAAGTCGTCGGCGATGGTGTGGCAGTAGTTTGCAAACTCTTGGGGCGTGAACTCGAACTTGTGGTCTTCGTGGCGGAAGACGCGGTTGGTGCGACCGGTGGGGTCGAGGAAGCCGGGACGCGTGGAGAGGTCCTGGCCAAAGTTGTCGTTGAAGCAGTAGTTGGGCGTGGTGATGAGCACGATGCGTGGACGGTACTTGCCAAACACGGTGGGAGCGAACTGCTGCAGCGCGGGCTCGTCCAGGTGTTCGATCCTGAAAGAGGAAGAGAAGGAAAAGCTCGAGGTCAGCATGGGCGTATGATGGTGCACGAGTGCGGGTTGTACCGCCGCGAACTTACACTTCTGTGGCGACGAATGCATCATAGTCGTCGAGCGTCTCATTTTCAGTCTGGACTGGGCCGAGGAAGAGGCGTACGTCGAGCGACTTCCAGCGCGGGCCGTTTTTGGCGAGGGCGAGGCCGTGGAGGGAGAGGCTGGACTTTGCGTTGTCGAGCACCTTGCGCTCTACATCGATGCCGATGAGACGAGTGAGCACAATGTCGTTGGGGCTGTAGATCCAGTGGCGAGAGGACAGGAGGGTGTCGTTGGACGCGTCGTTGGAGGCGTCGTCTGCGGTGGCGTTGGCAGACGAGGTGGACTTGGCGGGCAAGGCGAGGGCGGGGAAGCGATGGACGGGGAACTGATCGAGCTGGAAGGCGGGTTGCATGAGGGCGGAGAGGAGGACGCCATTGGAGCAGCCTACGTCGACGACCGAGTCCGAGCGCTCCTGCCTGAGCTTGCCGAGTACCCAGGACTGCCTCTGCAACCAGAGGGGTGGGTCGAAGTAGATCTTGGCCACCATGCTAGCTCAGTGCGTGTGGACCGAGAGTGAGGGGTGAGGGGTGAGGGGGGTCCAGCGAGGTGTCCAAGGTGGGGGATGCCGCACGTGCAGTGCAGCAGCCCGAGCTGATTGACGGGAGCGGCGACGGGCAAGGCAGCAGCGGAGGGGCGGAGAAGACCAAGACCACCGAGGCAGTCTTGCTGATGCAGTGTGTGGCGAGGAGGAGAAGGCGCGACGGGCTAGAAGATTAGCGCTTTGTCGAGAGTGAGGAGCAGCGCCTCTGAATTGCAGCCGTGTCGTAAGTCCGCCCCAGTGGAAAGTGGTTGGCGAATGGCTTTTGAGCGAGGTGTAGGGCGGTTCGGACGAAGATGGTGGTAGCAAGCCAAGGCGGAGCGGAAGGGAGAGAGAAGCGGACGACGATGATGGTTGCGGAATGGAAGGAGGGGGACAAGGATGTGCTGCGCACCAATGCAGCGCAAAGAGGGACAGCGCAGATGAGCTTGCCGCTCGCTGTACGCGCCCGCTGAGCCTCTCGCCAAACTCTAAGTTATCCGCTTCCGCACACTTGACACCCGCACCTCATCAGATCACGCGGAATGAAGCGCAGCACATCGCAAGCTATGGCGGTCCCACCGTGCCGAGCCGGCCGAGCAAGGAGGACAAGTGACATTCGTAACGATGCATGACTTTTCCCGGAATGGCGCCATGCATGATGGTGGGATTCGTGCGCAGAAGCTCGGTGTCGTGACGTGAATCCAAGCTGCACTTTCGACTGGCTCTGAGACTGGATGCCTTGCAGCTTCGAGAGTTGTAGGGCCGGCCTGCAGCTTCGGAATCGATCCCGAGCCAGGGTCAGGAGTTGGGCGGTTGCCGCAGCCGTCTCACGCGCCGCCATTGGGCTGTAGTCAGCCTCGCTTTCATACACTCGCATCGCCAAGCGAGCCGCCGACCAAGCACAAGCAATCCAAAAAAATCCAAAAAAGTGTGGGGTTGGAGCCTCGGGGCTGGATTGACGGTCGGTGCGTACCGCTGCGGCTGCGCCCGTCTCGCCTAGGGCGGCTGCTATCCTTTGCCTCCACGTCGCCGCGTCGCCGCGTCGCCAGTGCCTCGTCCCAGCTCGCCCTGCAGCCCGGAGCGCAGGCCGGAACAAAAGTCGGAAAAGGCGAAGGAAAATGGAAAATCTGGGGAAATCCACGGCCAATACAGCACCCGCCAACAACATGTGATCGCCCGCCGTCCAGCGTCAAGTGGGAGAGCGGCGACGCAAGGGCCTCGGAGATGACCGCCCACCCAACTCTCCCACAGCGACCGGCCCAATTCCGCGTTGACCTCGAATGCCAACGTCTACACACACCGGCGATGTGCTCTGGTTCACCTCCAGCTCGTATCCGAAAGCTACATCTGAATGCTCCGAGATGGAGTGTGATTGTCGATCGGATAACAGACAATGGCACGGACAATGGCACAGACAATGCCAGTTTGAGCTCTGGTGGGCGAATCAACGCGCCGGACAAAGCGCGCTTCCGGCTCCGCTTGTCTCCGGACACGTCCGTTGGCATTCGATTTAGCCGCGCCGACTCCGCTTGCACCTGGCTGAGATCCGGATCAGATCTCGATTTTGGATCAACAAGCTCAACAGCATCGCCGGTATGGAGTGGCTCGGACGCACACTGAAAGCGCTCGGTGTCCGTCGGTGCTTTGTCTGTGCCTTCGGCAAATCGATATGGCGCGACCTATCGGACGAGGTTCGGTATAAGTCAGTCAGCCCTTATGCTAACGGGGCAGCCCAGAGTCGTGGCTCATTGTGGAGAAAAAGATTGTCCGAGGATGGGCCGAATCTTCCAGGATTCTCCGAGTCAGAGCCAGGCAGGCTCAACTCGCGGCGCCGAGATGTCGCTGGATCGGCCGATGCCCCAAGTTGTCTCGATCCGAGGAGCCGAAAGCCGAGACGTCGGCCGGCCCGGCTGCGCTCTGATTGGTCCGATCGACGGGCGCATCGTGATCGCCGCCTGCTGCCCCGAAGTTGGCGTGCTAGACCAGCTCCTGCACACGACATCGACGAGCTAGCTCGAGCTCATACGCGCCGTCAACCCTAAACAAGCGCAGCATTAGAGTCACACCGCAAGCCTCACCTTTTTTTTTCTTTGCGTCGAACCAGTGATCACTTCCACTTGACTCTGGTGCTGTCTGACGCTTCCAACGTGCTCCCCACTCGATGCGTGCGAGGCGGGTGACCGCATTTGGATTGGCCCACTCAGGAGCACAGACAGCTGTGGCTTTTGGCTTTGATGGTGGGGGTGGCTGTCTGCAGTGTCAAGCCCCACCAGGATGCAGTGGTGCTTGGCATGTCGCTGCTGCGGCCCGCTCTCCCCACCTCACAAGCACCCTGAACCAGAAAAAATCGAGGGTTGCTGTTGGGACTTTTTTTGGATTTCTTTATTCGAAATTCGGCTTGATGCCGCTGCCAATCAGAATCCGAAAATGTGGATTGCCGCAACAGGCCCTGGCAGCACAGCAGACCAGACTCGAGCCGAGCGTTGGTGAGAAGAACAGATGGCTCGGCTAGGCCCAGACCAGGGCGCGTCCCTAGATCGCTGCGCGGGGAGGCCTTTCCAAGTCCAGCCTCGCAGATGTAGTCGGGGAGAGGCAGTCGCGTCGAAAAAAGCACCAGGCTTGGCACAAGCGAGACGAGCGACTGCGGCAATGTCGCTTGGGCTCAATTGTGCGTGCCGCGCGATCCAGGGCGGCTATCGTGCATCCGGTCCGCCATTCGTTGCTCGGCAGCATTCGTGTTCGAGATGCCCCGCGGCTGACAGGCGAGCTCAAGGCGTTGAGCCAAGCGCAAGGCTGCTTGCTGCACTCCGCCTTTTGTTGGCACTCGCATGCAGGCTGGACCTCAACCCCCATGCAGCATG